TTTGTGATTATTTTTCCCTGAAATTTTCAGGAACTTTGGATGAAATTGTAAACAAAATTATCTGAAAAATTGGAAGAAAAATATTAATAAGTTTACCAGGGAAGTCGTGTTTTATCAGAGGAAATTTGGCATCTCCTGAAGGTTCATACGGCGTTTTTCCTTAGCACAGCAGTACGGCAGTATATCGACGGTGTAAGTCGGCAATCACATATCTCGTTTGCGGTGTCTGAAAATCTCCGCCTCTGTGTTATTGTTTTAAAGGAGAACAAATTGACATCATTCTTTGAAGTTTTTTCATCATTATCTTCGCACAGAGAAGAAAATTCATGGCAGTTCAACAGAATTGTCGTTGAATAGTTTTCCGTTTAAAAAATAAAGTATGACAGGAAGTCTGCGACGTCGCAAACCTGCAACGGCATGTGATCGCAGACTTACACCGTCGATATATGCTGGTGAAATTTTCCATCGCGGATTTGACCAGTGAGAAGAGAAAAGCAGAAATGTTCAGTTTTTTTTATTGCTGTGAGCCATAAAATATGAGAAGCCACGGAGGTGTTTTAAGTGTGAAATTTTCCAGAAAACGGCTTCTCTCTATGATTAATCTCCTCGTTCAATGCCCGGAGGCAGATGTTCACTCGATGTGTTTACACATTTCACTCCTTCACCTGGGTGTGTCCCTGCCGTGGCCTTGCTCACGCTGCAAACCTGGGCACGGGGCCCAACTTCACCGTCTTGTTGAGGAGAAACGCCGTATGATCACTTGAATGTTGCCGAATGGAGATGTTGCATGTGTGAGGGATTTGCGATTTGACTGCTGTTTCTCATGTAAAAGTTCGCGAGAAAACACGATGGTGCCACTGGTTTTCTCTGAAATCAACTCCCAAGCTCAAAAAAAGCTCTCAAAGTGAGGCCAAAATGGAGGAGATATCCCGCCCTACCCTGAGAGTCCACCTCTACTTCACAACAAACTCTCCATGCAAAGATAGGGAGCAAATACATTAGCAGGGTTGCCGGGTTTTCAGTTTTGGAGTCCCCTAATGAAGTGGCAGCCCTGTCAATGTATTTGCTCCCTATCTTTGCATGGAGAGTTTGTTTTGATGTAGAGGTGGACTCTCAGGGTAGGGCGGGATATCCCCTCCATTTTGGCTTCACTTTGAGAGCTTTTTTTGAGCTTGGGAGATGATTTCAGAGAAAATCAGTGGCACCATCGTGTTTCTCGCAAACTTTTACATAAAAAACAACAGTAATATCGCATTTCCCTCACACATGCAACATCTCCATTTCCTCTCGACGATTTCAGTATTTATGTAAAAATATGCGATCATTCTTCCTCGAACGGCAACGTGTCCTCGAATGCCGCGTTTCCAGCTTAGGAGTCACCAAACCAAGTAGCAACCCTGCTAACGTATTTCGATGGGCAAAGGAGGGTTGCCGCAGTCAGGGAAAAACGGGAAATGTCAGGGAATTTTAAAAAGTCAGGGAAAACGGGGAAATGTCAGGGATAACGGCGAAAATGTCGGGGAAATTTGTTAAATCACCTTCATTTGCTTTCTAGAATGGGTTTGAGGTTTCGAACAACAGATTTTGCTTGAAAACTTTCAATTATGTCTTCTTAACCATCCGTCACAGCTTAAATGGAGATGTTGCATGTGTGAGGAATTTGCGATTTGACTGTTGATTCTTATGTAAAAAGTTCGCGAGAAACACGATGGTGCCACTGGTTTTCTCTGAAATCAACTCCCAAGCTTAAAAAAAGCTCTCGAGTTGAGGCCAAAATGGAGGGGATATCCCACGCTATCCTGAGAGTCCACCTCTACATCAAGACAAACTCTCCATGCAAAGATACGGAGCAAATACATTAGCAGGGTCGCTATGTTTTCAGTTTTAGAGTCCCGAATAAAGTGGCAGCCCTGTCAATGTATTTGCTCCCTATCTTTCCATGAAGAGTTTGTTTTGATGTAGAGGTGGACTCTCAGGACAGCGTGGGATATCCTCTCCAGTTTGACCTCAACTTGAGAGCTTTTTTTGAGCTTAGGAATTGATTTCAGAGAAAACCAGTGGCACCATCGTGTTTCTCGCGAACTTTTACTTTTAATCGATAGTCAAATCGCAAATTCCTCACACATGCAACATCTCCATTGTCAGGGAATTTCTAGAATGTGTCAGGGAAATCAGGGAATTTCATTTTCTATATTCTGTGGCAACCCTGGCAAAGTGCAAAACCACGTATCTCCGTTTGCGACGTCGCTAACTTCCTTTTGGAAAACGAGTCGAACTTCTCGAAAACTTATTTGATTTGTCTTCTCTGTTAGCAAAATATATTCCGTCAAATTTCAAGGTATGGATTTATTTTCCTCAAAAAAATATAAGAGGAGCAGAAACTCTTGAAACATTGTAACTAAGATACGTGGTTTCGCTTTTTGGTCATCGATTTGCGCCCTACCTGTGCATGGAGAGTTTGACATGATATAGAGATGGACCCTCAAGTCCTCAACGCAGCGAGGGCTATCCCCTACATTACAGCGTGAACTTCGGAAGCTTTTTTTGAGCTTAGGAGTTGGTTTCAGAGAAAACCAGTGGCACCGTCGTGTTGCTCACGCAATTTTACAATTCACAGTGAACTTAAATCGTAAATTACTGACACATTTAAGTACGTTTTAGATGCGTTAGAATAAATTTCGACCGAAATTTCCTGGAAAAGTCGGCGGGAAAAACTCAACATTCTAAGGAAATTCGTGCTTTATTGGAAAGAATTCGGCAACGTCCTGAAGTTCGAATAGGCATTGTCGTCAAATAGTGCCGAAAATGTGTTTTTCTCCCCATCTATACCCATGTAAAATATTCAAATTGTATCGCCTTTCCTGGCAACTCTGCAAATGACGTTTTTCCCAAGCACCCCGGTAGTCTAGTTGCTGAGTGAGAATACTATAGTTAAGAGCGACTTCACTTTCATGTAATTTAGAATAGGGCAACCTAAATTAAACGGTGTCACCCGGGGAGGGGGGATTGTACCCGGTACCGTGGCAATCGGCCCGTTGCACGCAGAAATGGAGAGCGTATATTACAGGGTGAGTGCAGCCATGGAAAACTGGGAAAAGACATGAGGAAAAATGGGTCATGGCAAACCGAAAAAGTCAGGAAAAGTATTTACAGAACTAACGCATTTTTCCGTATCGCGTCCAATTTTCCTTGTCGAATCGGAAAGTCTTGAAACTGTTCTCTTTCATCTCGTATTTAAAAAATAAAGGAATGTTTCCAAATTTGTAAGGGAATGTATTAGAAAGTCTGGAAATTCCAGTTCTAAACTTTTGTGACCACTCTGCTCTGTTACAAGTGAAGGATAACTGAAAAAAAGCTGTACAGCAGCATTCAGCAGTCATCATTTTGCAAGTTTTCTGCTCATGATATCGCTCATCTATCAGCTGATGTTACTCAGGGATCATGACTGTTGTTGACACTACGATCAAGCGATCAAGCAAGATACAGCGTGTTGCAAATTCTGTACGAGGTGTCTCATTGTCAGACCCCCCGCACGACGCTAATTTCTTGTTTATTTTAAGTTGGTTGATGCAACTGAGACCGGAACTAGGGAATGGACCTTGAAGGGGGCTGAGGGACTTAGAACCCATGAAAATCCAATTCCTGGGATCCACTCTTAAGTAGCGCTCTCCCATCCCAAACACCACACGACTTAAAATATCGTAGAATAAAACTTGGCACGGGTGGTCTGGGACACCTCGTATAGGAATATAAAATTTGCAACGCTGTATCACGGCTGATTACTTAATCATAATGTCAGCGGCAGTCTTAATCCCCGAGTGACATCAACTGATGAAGTTTCGCTCCCTGAAATAACGACGGATCGATTGAAGTTGTCTTTTAAACCCAAGAATTTCGAAATATTAGCATGTAATAACGGTAACATTTTTAGATGGATTTTTTGAACGACATTCAGGTAGGTAGAATAAAACGAGACATATGAAAAAACAAGGGGAGAAAAATGGGAAACAAGGCTAAAAGCAAACAAGAAAACACCGACTGTGTACTTTTTTTGTGTCCTTTTAGCATTGTTTCCCGTTTTTCCCCCTTGTTTTTTCATGTTATCATTGTCACGAACTGTTGTGTAAAAATGTGTATTAATAAAACGGGACGGGGCTGCCTATGCTAATATCTAAGTCAGCACAAGCAATGCATACAGTGATGTTGATAATAACGCCTCGATACAACTATTCGTACTCTATGGACGCGCGTGTGGCATGCGAAAAAACGGAAGGCGCTCCAGTCACTCTTGTCCGTGAAGCAGTGCACGCAGCGCAGCAGCGTGTGACGCGCCGCCGGCACGAAAATGTGACAAGATGAACTACTCTCATAAAAACCAAGGTCGAGAGAGGGCAGATACAGATATTTTCGTACCATTTACACAAATTAGGATATTATCATAACCCACCGGCACACCGAGTCGTGCTCGTGACAACGTGTCGCTCTCGCTACTGGGCTAGAATGATCGGAGCGCCTTCAATTTTAAGCATGCAACACGGGTGTCCAGAGAGCGCAAATAGTTGCATCATGGCCGGCGCTATCATCAATATCATTGTCCAATGCTCGGAAACTAAAACTTTAGTGTTGAGAAAACCCGTCGTATGAACACCCGAGTGTCGCCGAATTTCCTCCGATTGAATGCGGATTCCCTAGAAAACACGTCAGCATTTATTGTTTAAATTTTTAAAAAAATTTCTGCGCAACTTCCTCTAGTTATTACGAACATTTCAAGGAAATATTCTCCGAAGTATCCTCACAAATCTTGTTTTATCAGAAGAAATTACAATATACAATGCATGTAAAACAATCGATTCTTGGTGAGACCGCTTGTCTTTCCTGAAATCGATATATTTAATGGATTTCACCGGAGGATAAACAGTGTTGCCAACTTGAAAAATCGCCGTTACCTATGTTCACGGTATTTTTGGACCGGGATTGATGTTTCGTCGTTTCTGTTTCAGGTATCAGGTTCTCGAACGACGTGTCACGGGACGAGGTCAAAGCCCTGTCCGCGTTGATGACGTTCAAGTGTGCCTGCGTGGACGTTCCCTTCGGCGGCGCCAAGGCAGGGATCAAGATCATCCCGAAAAACTACAGTGAACACGAGCTGGAGAAGATCACGAGGCGCTTTACGCTCGAGCTTGCTAAAAAGGGATTTATCGGTAAGTCGTCCTTCTCTCTGTAAAAACTGTTTAATGAAATTCGAGTTTTTCTATGTATCGATTAGTCGAATTATCGGATAGTCGGAAATTCAATTATCGATTAATAATTTAATCGGATTAAAATTAACTGATTACTTAATGTGAGAAAGGAATGAGAAATCAGGGTTTCTACTACCGAGACAACCCAGGGAATGAAATTTTGACCGGGAATTTGACGTTCACTCTTTATTTTTTTGCTTTTTCAAGTGGAAAGTTTAGCTTTTTGGACATCGTGCCTGAAGATAGGGTGGGACGAACATATTAATGAAGAGATCGTTTCAGAATGGAACAAACTAGGGCAAGATTTTGTAGATCTAGAAAGATTTAAACGTGAGAGGAGATTTCTGACGATTTAGCAGTGCCCAACATTTTCAGAATAGGATTGTGTGGTAGTGAAGTTAGCTAAGAAAATTAAAAGGCAGATGTAGCTTTTTTGAAATTCGTCAGCTATCAGAACCTCGGGAGATGGATAGTGTTCCATCTCTTTGACGAATGAGTCGTAAAGCAGTATTTTATGAAATCAAGTGGGGGAAGCACAGGGAATTTGAAATTCGAAATAAGTAGAAACCCTGGAAAATCATCATTGAAATTTTAATACAATAAAATAATTAATATAAGCGATTAAGGGTTTACGATAATTCCATGAAAAAGGGGACATGCATTTGTATATGATCATAGTTAATTAAAATAATTTAAGGAGGTTAAAATTTAAAATTTGAGTAGAGTTAACTTGTTTCAAGGGTATCATAATTATAATTCTTACATTTTGACGTTACTGAAGGGAAAAAAGTTACTGTCGTAAATTATTGAGGTCATGACTTCGTTTTCTCCGATTAAGGTGCCCCTTTAAAGTCGCAGCTTCGACATCTGATAATTTTGATTCCCTTCCTTGCTCTGGTCACGTTTTTCTCACAAGATGCTTTATCGGCAATCATTTTTCCCGATGATGTCTAAAAATGACAAGAGCTGAATCGAGACATCTTCGCTCTCAAGTGCATGTTGATTCCCTAGACCAAGAGAGTGCCAAGACTGATGTTTTGCGATACACGGTGCCCACTCAAACACCGTTCTTTTCGTTTCTTACCTTACAATGTTACATTATCTTACATACCCACTCGCGTTCATCGAATAACCGGGCAAACTTAAGCGGAATGAACTCGGAAACCGGCAAAACGAGTCAAGTTCCCCGCTGAACAGTATTTGAAGTCGTTGCCCACGAGAGATGAAGAGAGGAAACTTAGAAAGATCTTAAGCGCCATCTCTTGTTGCAAGTATTTTGCATCATGTTCCTCGCATGCGGAGTAACACGCGCTTTTAAGTGGCCGTACCAGTTGCGCCATCTGAGAAACACCTGATGCCACTTAAGACGTTTCAAATGTTTACTTTTCAGATGATCAAGTGTCACTTGACACCGTATGTTTGTTCAATACTCGATGCCTAAAAAGTAGTGATTTTGAGATAGGTATTTCTAAGTTGGAGGGGTTTATTCTTGTATTTATTTTTGAAGTGAGCTGAGTATCTGGCGCTTATACTATTCTGCTCGTAGCGTTTGAAAAATACAATTTTTGTTTCAAGTCTGACCATTTTAACAGGTTCTGTGATTTTTAATTCCGTTAAAATGTCGGCTAATTTTCCCCAAATATTTTTAAACAACATGGAGCCCAGACTTATCAGTGATGATTGCCGCATCATTTCAATTTATTGCGAAGTTTTTTTCAATGAAATTTTCCCCCAAGATGTTTCCTCTTTCTCTCGAATTTATCTCATCCACTAACCGCGCGACGGATTTTTGATCTAGTCAAAAATCCTGTACTTTCCCTCGACTCGAATTGCTGGTTTCATATATCGTTGCGTCGTTAGAACCATACGAAATTTCTTGTATTAAACTGATATCACGCACTTACTTATGTGTCGTTGTCGAGGTACTAAACCCTCACCGACCGTATACATCATTTTGAATGCAACACCGTACATCAGTCTTCTTTAAACCGACTGTTGTATGATGTGACGGCGCCGCGCCGTCAAAAATCCGACTGTTATAATCTTATCGATTTTAACGAAGAGACCGATAAGGTTTCCCTTTTCTTAAATTGCGGAAGTTGTGTCCAAAACGCATTTCTATCCGGTATATAGTCTTATAAAAATGGAACAAGTAACTAAAATACACGCACAATAAATGAATCCTTCCTTTTCTTATTGTGTGAATAGAGCATCATTCTCATTCTTATTTCTTATAAAACCGTTTCCGGAAAATGATTCCTTTTCCCAGAATATAATGAACATACTCATAGCATGCTTAAATCTGAATTTTACTAATCGAATAAGAAAGCAATGCTTCTCAGAATTAAACTTATTTAGCCTGTGGCTATTTTTGGTCCTCATTTAAAATCAGCGGACACGGATTTTCCAGTCCTCTTACTTTCAAAGTAGTCAGGCCACATTTTGCAATTTGGAACTACAATATCTGACTCAGTTTAGAAACGACGTATGTATCATTACTTTCCCTTTTCACATGAGCGTTTCTACGGATGAGCTAGAAATTGTAGTTCCTAATTGCAAAATGTAATACAGTTCATGAAACACATTGGAGTGGAGGTAAATTGCCTGAAGCAAGAAAAACAGTAGAACTAGAAAGCCATTCCAATATGACTAAAATCCAAGAATTTTATTTTCTAAACCTAGAAAAGAAGTTGTAGTCGTTAGATTTTACCAAAAATTCAACGGACGCACAAAATGTAAGATCTACTTGACTTTTTGCACCATGAAATAAAAGTGTGTGGTAGAATAAAACCCCTCGAAAGAAAACATGTATCACTGCCTTGACAAAAATTAACCAGGGGCATAGCCAGTGAGGTCCAGGGGGTCTGAAAAAATGAAAAATGTCTCTTTTCCTTTTTTACCACCGTTGCATATTTCTGAATGTTAATTGAACCGCTAACCCAACCTATGATCCGATTCTCTCGATTAGTAATTTTCATGAACCGAAGAAGATGATTAGCAGATTTTGCAATACATCTGTCACTCTTCTGTCATCCGACTTTCAAATGCGTGAGGTAGGATTGTGCGTCGGTGTAACACTCCCCCCCCCCCCCCNTCTTACACGCAGTGCCCTTGCCAGGCACTTGACGGATCTAGATCGAGAGCTGCCACTGGCGACAGCTTACAGCGTTTCGGCCTAATGTTTCAATTGAAACATATTTCCGGGATCAAGACTCTCAATGAGAGGGCTATTGAAATCGGCCGGATAAGATTTATTTATCGATCACTCTCGTTGAAAACTTAGTAGAATTTTTTTCTTTTTTTTCTTTCTTTTAAGTCTGAAACAAAAATGGCTCGTCAATTTCGACACATAGGAATGTTCCCAAAGAGTGAATTTTGGATTTCATATTACTTCTTTATTTTCTTCTATTTTCCCACAAAATTTTTGCAGATTATGTAATTTTGTCATATATTCCTCATAAATCGCTGATATGATATTTCTGCCCCGAAAATCGCAGAAGAATCTCGTTAATTCCCAAAAAATCTCGAAGGAAGTAAAAGGATATTCCGGGTCTTATTCTCTTTGTCCGGTTTGCCTCCGACACAAGAAACATATCAAAGAATGAGATAAATTATAATTCTCGAGCAGATCAGAATTGTCTATCTGTGAAGCTCACCATTTCTAATGGCCTCCTCTGGAAAGATGAGTCGATTTAAAAAAAAAAAAAAAAAAAAAAAAAAAAAAAAAAAAACAGGAAAATTCATGTTGAGATTTCATGAGTTCGAGTGAGGACATGTTGGGCCAGGTCCAGATTCTTCTGGCAGTACTCTGAATATGTCAGGCCCACAATCGATAAGGATTTAAGAAATGAGCTTTTATAACGCATTGTTAATTTTTGAGAGCAATCGACGCTCTGAATGCCTGTATTTCGATGTCCCGAGTGCAAGACTATGCATCTCGATTTTCGACGTTGCAGACTTCCTGTTATACATTATTTTTTCCTCGGAAAAGTAGTCAACGTAATTTCTTGGAAATTTCCTTGATTTTTCTTCTCTATTGGTGAAATATTTTCTATCAATGCGAATTATAAAGTTTATTTGTTTCTCTCCAAAAAATAAAATAGAACATTTTAAGCCGTAATGGAGGCACTTAAGTGGTTTTCACTTTGGCCATCGATTTCTCAGACGTCTCCAAGAGGACGTCTTGGTAACTTGAATGCATCTAATAGAACAAAGGGCAGAAAAAAAAGACTTAAAAAATAAATTTAAAAAAACGGGCACTGCGTGTGAACCCAAGTCCTGCTTATAAGAGTCATCAATACCGAACAATTATGTGGGAAAACAGGAGTAAAAAAAGAAGTAAATCATATAAATCTATACGTCACTCTTCGGGAATATTTCTAAGTTTGAGAAGGAGAAAAATGGAGGTAAAGTTTTGCAATAATTTCGCAAAAAATAAAAAAAATTTAAAAAAATAAAAATAAATAAAAAGTGTACAATTTGAAGAAAACTAGCACGTTCCAAAACATTTCAATCGAACTATTTAAAGTTTGCTAGTGTAAAATTCCATCTCTTAATGTCGAGAAGAACACCATAAATATTCATCACATAACTTGTTTTGACACAAAAACAACCAGCTGATACCGTTCATTTTCAGCTGAGCCAAGGAGCAGACACTGTTGCCAGTTTTAAAGAAGGGACTTCATTTTGCAATAAGAAATTAATATTATTAATGGCTCATCCACGAAAGCACGTATCTATTCTACACAGGGATAAATTAAGGGCACATGCGTTGTTTGTTAAATGAGCGGAGAATTGTAGCTCCTCCTTGCAAAATGCAGTCCAGTTAAAACACTGAGTGAAGTCTTCATAATAAGCTGAAGGGTCCACCCTTTGGTCGCTACGCGCACCAACCCCCGCGCGTACCCCCCACGGGCCCAGTGGCGTGGCGTGAATTGCGATTTATCGATCGATCTGCCATT